CCATTCCCCACCACCACCGGTTCACTACTCTCCTCCTCCCGTAGTATACCATTCCCCACCACCACCGGTTCACTACTCTCCTCCTCCAGTAGTATACCACTCCCCACCACCACCAGTTCACTACTCTCCTCCTCCCGTAGTATACCACTCCCCACCACCACCCAAGACACACTACGAATACAAATCTCCTCCTCCTCCGGTCCATTACTCCCCCCCTCCGGTTTACCATTCTCCTCCCCCTCCGGTGTACCATTCTCCTCCTCCTCCGGTACACCACTACTCACCTCCACACCAACCCTACCTTTACAAATCCCCACCTCCTCCTCACTACTAGATTACTTAATCGTCTACTAATGGTAATTCTTATTTCTCATACTTTACAATGCTATGCCTCAATCAAATTTTATATGCTAACATATATATCTCATATATTCTTGCAGGAGTCGACGACGGTAAACAAGAAAACAAAGAATCCTATGATGATATAATAAAAGACACAAGATCATTGACGAGAAAATTGAAACGGATCATACATATGTCTAAAGAGAAAGTTTCCCATTTTAATGTCTTTTCTATATTTCTAAATACGTTATATTGTAATAAACTTCAAACATGTTAATGAGTGTTGTCCCTTCATGCATGCAAAATCAGTTATATGTTTGTAAGTTGAAGTCATGTTTTTGCTTCAAAAGTTTGGTTGTTCAATTGAATAAAAGTATAAGTTTCTTTTCCTTTCTCCTACTCCACTATCCCATTTTAATTTAGCAGAAATTCTTAAAATGAATCATCATGTTAAGTCCCCATTTAAATGATCAGTATATTAATTTCTCTATAAGCATATAAACATAAACATCATCGGAGGAAACTGAAAACGCGTGTATCGGTTTAAACTCAGAGGATATAGTGGAACTCGTTAACAGTCGTCGTACTTCTGTATATATAAGTACAACCTCTTAAGTCTTAGTTTGGACCAGACACAAACAAACAAAAACCGAGTTTGTTGACGGTATCATATTAGGTCAACGGCTCTAATAGAATCGCAATTGACTTATTCCGTACCGTGTAATACGTCACGTGCCTTTCCTCTTGTTTCTCAGAACAAAGCAAACTTTTTGTTCCACTAGGCAAGCAAATCTATGTACCTATTAGTTTATTTCATACTTAGTAACTCGGCTTGGGTAAAAGACTATACATTCTCGTTTTTTCTTGTTATATGTTTTTGTTTCTTCTGTAATTTTGTATTTGTATTCATCATTGTTTTTGTATTTTCTTAATTTTTCTGATGTATCACTTACATTCAATTTATTCATTTGAAACAAGAGTGGTGGTATATTTCTACATTATTTGGTCACCTTAGCTATTTTGGAAAAAGTAGGCAGGTATTCATACTTGTTGTCTTGAATTATTTAAGTTGTTCGAGAGAAAATCATAAGAATACGGCGTATATATTATCTCTTATTATTGTCGGGTTTTTCGTATATTATATGCTGTCAGTTTCACATAATTTTATACATCTTTTTAACTCTTTCCATACATTATATCTTTCCATTCGCAGTGGTTTATATTACTAATTTAGGAAAATCTATATTTTCAATATGAAAGCCGAACCAATTAATTTTTAATTTCAGCAACCTTTTTCCCAAAAAAAAGCCCTAATCTTACATCCCGAGGATCAAGTAACAATCTTAGTTATTACAGTCCAAATAAATGTTTCTCAACTTGATGGCCGCACTCTGATGATTTAGTTCGATCATCTATAGAATGAAACATAATGGCTCATGACACATTGCATAAATTATGGACCCATTTTGACTTATGTGACATAATATATCATTAGTTATGAGCAAATCTGCATCATCAAGCACCTTCCTTCAGTTTCAAGCTTAATGATATCATCACTGATATAATGTATGAAGTAATTAAATCAAACATACATATGATTGGTGTTAAAGTTGACTAAGAAGAAGATCAGTTTCAATGGACAAGAAATTGCTTGGTGACATCAAAAGTGAATGATTCTCTCTATATGGATATGTTCTGAACCACCATTACTTTATTCACAGATTCCTTTACTCCTATAAAGAAGAGTTCAGGTGAAACTGAGTTTTAGGGATTCAAAGAGGAAAACTGTTTCAACTTAATGCAAATCTCTGTGAACCTCCTTACTGAAATTCCAAACAAGCAACAAAACCAGGATGATCACATATCAAAGGTTGAAGCTTAAGGCAATCACAAAGCAAGACTAGAATCATAGCACATTCCATTTAACAGTTTTACTCACGTCTGGATTACAAGAAAACAAACACAAAACACATCGTGAAACAGCTTAATAACAGTAACAACAAAGAAGCAGAAACAATCAAACAGAAATCACCAAATAATCGTAAACAGAGATATAGATATTCCTCCTATGGAATGCGCAAAGACCACAAACGCACCTTCTTCTTTTTTGTCATGGCATTATTGTAAGCTTAGCATCAAACACGAAACCTCGACACAATCCATCTGCATAACCAGGGACACCATCAATCCATCTCCAACCTTCCCAACAATCCCACATTGCAAGCTTCCCCATTCTTTTAGCAGAGAAGTAAACCCTATCACCACCTCCGAAAACTTTGAACTTACTCGATTCTTGAAAACCTCGGTACATCTCTAACGGCATTCTACCTGCTTCTTCCCATTCCAAGCTTTCTAAATCCAACCTAAGTATCAGAATCGTCGAACAAGCCGGGTTCAACGAAAACGTCGATTTCAATCCACCAATCATCAGAAGCTTAGAATCTCCGTTACCGCGCAACAAACGTGGTCGTTTAATGATATCGAATATATCACCCCATTCATGTTTCTCCAAGCAAACCCAATTGGTATGAGTGATTGTGAGATTAGTCAATTTACATGAGAAAAGCTTCCATTGACTTCTCCACGGAGATCCAACATCACACAATGCGAAAACCGAGCTCGACATTAACACAGGACTTCTAGGTTTCGATGGTAAATTCGATGAGAATTTGAGCCATTGATTAGCAACTACAGTACCTGAGTAATACAACGCAGCGAGCTCAGTGAGCACCATGACACGATTAACCGAATCAACAAGAACAGTACCATGGCGTGACCAAGCCGAGCCAAGCTGAGGCAAAACCTTAAACTGCCGAGTCAATGGATTACAAGCGACGAGCGATTTGCTAGACTCAGCTAAATCAATCGAATCTCCCCAAAGATAGATCAATCCGCTAGAAGAAGCTACAGGCTGAGGAGATCGGAAAGGGAAGAAATCGAGATTGAATCTGAACCATTGATTTTGCTCTGGATCGTATACATGGATGTACGGTCGGATGTTCGTTGCGTGTCCGTTTCCGCTGTGACGGTGACTGTGGTGGTGATGAGGAGGTCGGAGAGCGAGTAGATTCAACGGTGGACGAGTTGAGATGATCTCTATGAAGCATTGAGAGGTCAAAAGCTGGTTAAAGAACTTGCACACGGATCTGCAGATCATGATATCACGGAGAGGAAGAGATGAGAAGATCTGGTGGAGAGAATCCGGTGGAAGACGGTTGATCGGAGACGATTCCATGGTTGTCTCTTCCTCCTCCTCCTCCTCCTCCTCCTCCTCCGTTGGTTTGCGGCGGCGAGAAATGGTCTAATCGAGATTTGTTGGAAAACTAAAGGGTAAAATGGGAAAAGTAAGAGAATGCGCCGTTGTATGCGTTGTCATTGGTTGCGATTTTGGGTATTGTAATGAGAGTGGTGAAGAAAAGGAAATAATTTATAGTTCCCATTTTGTCCTTGGTTTTGCTTAATGCGCTGAGTCACCTACTTGTCTGGTTATCATTTGAATATTTCATAATTGACTATTTTATTTTCTTTGTTAATTTGTAGAGCATGGAAGGGCACAACTTCCACCAGCTCTAGTTACCTACAAAAAGAAAATAGTAGTACTATACTACTGTTATAGTATTGATATATCATGTACATCTTCTTGTCAGCTCAAATGTGAGACAGTGAATACAAGGTTATTGTAGTTTTTGAACTTCTTCATCAGAGAGGGTACATATGTTTTGATCTTCATTGAAGGTTTCACCTGAGTTTTGCAGCCTGAGCCTTTGGCCTTTCTTGGAAATGTCAAGTACAATTCAAGTTTTTAGAACTGTAAACCATAAGCCTTCGTCTAGGAATACCAGTAGAAAAGAGACAAACGCATACATCCACAATGTCTAATGGACTAGTAACAAGTTTAAGGGAAAAAAATAAAGAGTTTACATAGTCCCGCATTGCTTAAAACAAAGTCGACGGTTTAGAGAAGAATAGTGAAGTTCAGTACCATGGGCTTGTAATCCAGCGGAGGAAAAATGATTGTATATTGGGCCCAACTAAGTTGATCTGGACTTCTATTCGCTCGCACGTTCCAAGTTTGAACGAGGCGTGTAGTTCACCCGGCTCCGAACCATGTGAACTTTTGCCACATACTCCAACACTAGGTCACTAGCTGAAGACAAAGGATCACACTTGGTAATAAGCTCAAGATTCTCTTTTACAAGATGTGCCTCCGGTGATAAAAGACACAACACGCCTCATACATATTACCTTCAGGCTCAAGCCTTTAGGCAAATGCTTAAACAGAAAAGTATATAAAACTTGTGTAAAGAAACTCAAACGTTGCTCCAAAGTTTCATCGACTAAGATTTAATTTTATGAGAACAACAATCGCTAGATTAAAAACCCAAAATTTCTAACTACTTTACAAAATAGATCGTTTTAACTTTTCAACAATGAACATATTAAGACAAAAAAGCAAAACACAGAGAATAAAGCCCTCAGGTCTTAGAGACAATTGTTTTAAAACTTGGTCATAGATGGCACAACGCATTGGCTTACTCTATGCCAAAGACCCTTAACATCATCATCCCCATTGCTGCAACCATCCATGTATGTATATATATATAGAGAGAGAGAGAAAGAAAGAGAGAAAGAGAGAGAGAGAGAAGCAGGGGCAGCAATAAAGATGACGAGTCTCAGCAAGAAACAACCAAGCGGCACTACTCAAACTCATTAAAGTCATCATCACAGGGATTAAACCTCTCAAAAAACAACAACATACAATGATTAACCATATCTATACCAAACACCAAAACTACAAAGCTTAGTAATAAAAGAAAACAATCCCTCAGTATTCACAAATCTGTCATATGCAGCGCATCAAAAACCGGTTTTCAAATTGACCCGTAGTTACCATTGCAAGAAACCAGTAGCAGCAGCAGCAGAGATACGAGGAAGAAGAAGAAGAAGAAGAGATGGTGTCAATGTTGATGATGATGATGATGATGATGAACAACAATGGTAACTAGGAGAACATAATTCAAAAACCAGGGCACCACTCAGAATTTGAGTTTTTTTCACATCAATGGGCAAAAACATCACAGAAAAACAAAACCTAAAAACTGAAACTTTAAAGAAAAAAAGCCCTCAGATCTCATAGCTATAAATCTGATCATGCACGGCTTAAAGTAAATGGGTAAAATCCAGCAACCTTAAAAAAGCCCTGAACACCACCGTTTCGCATCCGACGAACGTGTGTGATGGATAGGTGATAATGGTGGAAGTGTGCGCGTGTGAATGTCGTCGAGGGCGAAACGACAGCGTTCAAGGCTTTTAGGTTTAAACAACACGCCGGAGATTACCCAAATACAACCGCTCTATAACATAATTTTATGCATCATTGGGCAAATCAAACAACAACAACAAACAAAAATTGCACAACTACTTGAGGAAGATCGGATTCAAACCCATTATCAACAAAGATTTTGAAAAACTAGAAGCAATAAAGAAAAACCATTACCAAACTAAGTTTCGACAAACTAGAACCATAAAATAGCTAATCGGCGAGAAGAAAGTGAGAAAACAGATCTGGGATTGAAGTTTGAAGCTTACATAAAGACGATGGAATTAGGGCTTCGGATGGTGAAATGACGATTATACCCATGTATATTGATAGATAATTAGGTTCATGGGCTTTTGAGGTTCTAATCCATAAGTATAAAGCCCATTATGATTTAGGTTTTTCTTTACATATACAGAATCTTTTTAGACAGAAGCATTCTTTCTCTTCTCTTGTGGTTACGCAGGACCGGCCCTGAAACATGGCTTGAGCCCAAAAAAATTGGTCCCTAATTTTATATTTGTTTGCATCAAAGGTCCTAAAGTTTACAAAATTTTAAAACATGTTTATATATTTAAGAAACTATTAAAAACTCGTCCAAAATTTTGCTTTGGCCTAAAATTTCAGGGTCGACCTTGTCGTCACGGTTCTGAATTCTAATCATGGTGGGGAAGTGAAAGATAATGAATATATAAGACAATATTTGTTGTTTGACTACCAATTCGAGAAAACCAAGGGCGTCACGATTAATTGGGAGCAATTGATTACGCGTGCCATACTAGATCATTGGATCACTCACCGCTAGTCTTCTCTATTGGTTTATCATTTTGGGCTATAGATATGTACGAAGAGTCGAAAATCTATAAGCAAAAGTGTGGCGCCTCGGAAAACAGTTTGATATTCCTATATTCAGGCTTAAGGCGTGGAAAACATTCGAATAACTATTTAAACTTTCGTTTTATTTTTACTTGTGGATGTTTTGTGCTTGTTTTAAGCAAATCTTACAAATTAAATCACTATATTGCATGTTTTAGTCCTTGTAATAGAATTTAGTATGCAAAACGCTGACAACAAGATTACAATAGATTATGAGATTAATCACAACTCACAAGCTTTGGTGGTGTGATTAGTGCTCCACCACTCTTGTAGCTGACAGTATTTAAACACATAAACCTTATACCGTAATGAATTTAACGTTCAATACTAAAGTGATCTACATAACACACTTTGATTAAGAATTTAAGAAGAAAATAATCTTAATGTTGTTTTCAAAAACTTCCAAAAGAAAACGAATAATATCTGACCAAGGAAAATAGTACAATTTTATAGACCAAATAGTCTTATGATTTAGCTTATCACTTATCAGATATCTGTTTAGAAAATGAAATTAAAATCTTAACAATCTTTACTACTAATCAAAAGCGGCAACTAGAACTGAGCCACATTGACCCTTTTAAAGACGACTATCCACGATGGCCCTTCGAAGACACTTTTTGCCTTTTGGATCACCAAGATGAGATGAATATACTTTTAAAAATTGATTGATTATGTCACATAACTTGGTTAATTAAACTATAACTATCGTAGTTAGGTCAATTCTTATTTTAGTTATCCAATCATTTTATTTTCCTCGCAAAAATACACACATAGTGGTTGATTTGTTGTTTGATTGGTCCACACCTCCAAAACAAGATCACCAATATTCAATAACAAGTTTAGCTAAAATTTTATGAATTGTGAGGCAAATAATTAATGAATATCAACAAAAAAAAATAGCTAATTCATATTTTTGTTTGTGAAAAATAAACATTTTTTTTTGATCAAATGTGAAAATAAACACAAACATACATATTCCTTGGCATTACTTTTATTTAAACCACCTATCAACAACTATTAAAGAACTTGAACAAAATCTTTCATAAAGAACGTAAATTTAGAATGATGCGCTAACGTGGGGTGTCTCTCTACTTGATGGACTCTTCACACCATATTCACAGACGATTGGTCCTTTAGTATTTAGAATTGTAGAAAAATATAATACAATAGTTTGAAACTAATATAATCTACTACTATACAATTAAAAATCTCGAAAAAGTAACTATAAATCTCGAAGACAACCATTGAAAATCTGTGTCTTGAACATACGTGAGAGAGTGTTTCTGATCATTCGATGTTTCTACTAACGAGAAGTCGCGTCGGTCCGTACGTACCACCGTGGTAACGCAAGAGCCGGTGTTCTGCCATGTAGCTTTTTCCGACAAGGAATGCTTGCCGTTTTCTAAAACCTGCTCTGACGTCAAGCCGGCAAGCAGTGTGCTCACTTCTTGGTGTCTGTCATTTGCTCTCTCTCCTACTACCTACCCTTAACAAAATTTCGTGTTTATCCATTTTTCTTTGAAAATTGTTTGCAATGTATCAAACTTGTCATCAATGTAAAATCGGAGACGTATCTCAATAACCAAATACAGATTTATGATTTCTAGTTATTCTCGTTTTGAGTTTTGACATTTGACCGTTATGAATACAAATCAAATTATGGATTTGAAAAACCAAACTCGAATTAACTTTTTGGTTGCACCAATAAACAACATAAGCAGATCAGAATAAATGAAAGCTTGAAAACAAATCTAATTCTGAGATTCTCGGTGAAAAATAAAACACCACGAAACAAGAATCTCCAAAGCAAATCTGAAAACATTACATACAAAGCTGACTTTTTGACTTATTCGCAGGCGAGTTTCGTATCGAAACTGCTTAAACAGATAGCGAAAGCTTGAAACGCTGAGAGCGGATACCGGAAATCCATCGTGAACATGTCTTTTCCCACTTTCCCAAACTGCAATATGATCTTGTCGGGACCATCGGTCTGACCTGACGGTTGCGGCTGAGTTAGAGGCTGAATTTGAGGTTGAGGTTGCGGTTGAGGCTGGGGCTGAGGTTGGTTTGCAGCAATCAGCTGAAAGTTCTTAACTGATGCGACCGTTACGCGTCCCCTGAAGTTTAAACACCAGCATTGAAGCTGTTCATGCCACCTCGGCGGCTTGTTCTTAAGCACAAGTGGTGGCGAATTCCGCTCTTTCCCTTCTTCTAATACCGCTTCTTCGTCCTCGCCTAACGGGCCGAGAATGTCGGAAAACCGTGCGCTACTAAAATCATTCGAGTAATCGTAAGTGATTTTTCTCGACGACGAGGAGGTAATGCTGCGGAATGATTCGTCGAGAATAGAGCGCGGGACAATGATATCGGGCTGTCCAGGCACGGTTCCACCTTCAGCGAGGGAAGAGGCGGGAATTGAGTTCATCGCACAATGCATTCTCCTTGGACCGCGAGTACCAAGAACGTTTAGCTCATAAGAAACCTGCGCAATTTTGTAGCTCCCACTCGGTACTTTGGGAGAGACTCTCTTTGAGTAAAATCTGCGGCTAAGGCCTACCGGCTGGACCACTCGAGCGGTGTTGCTGTTGTATGCAGGTTGTGTATCGTATATTACGAACTTCGTCCCCAGAAAATTAGACCTACAAAAGAGAAGAGGAAATCACGGATTAAGACGGAAACTTTCGCTTCTATATGTTTTATAACTAGGCAAAGACTTTTACCTGATTTTGCCAATGTAAGCATTGCTTGATCTCGAAATGGTGTCGGCGTGCATAGAGATCACGTACTCGGTGTAAGTAGTTCTTCTTATGCGTTTTGCAGAAAGAAGGAACTTTCCATTCTCAACCAACAAAGCTGAATAGTAAACATAAAAACAGATTATCGATATGAGGCGAAAAAAGAGAACAATTTGGAACAAATTCAGAGAAATGAAGCTTTACCAGGACTGAGACAAAGGTATAAATGATAAGTCAAGTTAGATTTATCCCTCTTGATAAAGCATTGCATTGTTGCATCTCTTGGTCCCGGCTATAAACACCGAAAAAGAAACTTGAAATCATCAAAACATTAACCAAAACATATGTGACTGTGACACTAGAAAGAATCGGAAATCTAACCTGTTTAAGCGAAACAGGAAATGTGATTTTGCCCGAGAGCTCGGGACTTTGAACAATCTCTTTGCACATATCTCTCCATGACCTGCACACAGAAGCACAAGCAACCACATGTCTACGAGCAGGCCACACACTTTCGCTCTCTTCAAGTCTTTTGATCACATCGCGCAATAACTCTGGAGGTAGATTCGCCCACGGGGTTTCTTGAATCGTTACTACAAGTTGTTCCTCGTGGGAATCTTGAACCGAACCACGAGATTTCCCACCTTCTTTGTGCAAGCTGCTTAGCTTAAAGTCGAAACTACGCCTCGACAGACTTCCAATACTGTCTCTCACATCACGAACTATGCTGCGGAACGACATTTTCTCTCTCTCTCTCAAGTTTCTGAAAGACACAAAAGCAGAGTTTGATTCAAATTCTGAATGATACTTAATAACAAAGCAATGACAGAGAAGAGAAGAAAAGAAGATTCTCATCAATGGACCAAAAGCAGGAAACACCACAGGCTTTTTTAAAATTTAAGAAACATTCTTTTGATTCACATTTAGTAAAAAGAGAAGACAACAACT